TTGCTCCAAAACTTGTAGCAGTCCTCATGTAGCTGCATGGCGTACTTGTGAAAGGCGGGACCTCTAGCGTGTTGACTGTACACTCGAAGGGCCTGAGCAAGCTGATTCTTGTGGACTGTCATAGTGTAATTATGAGGCAGGTTGGATTGGTAGGCACTATGAGCCATGGGTAAAGCTTTTTGGCACCGGTTTTCTGAGAATTTTGTGTCTATATCCAAAAATCCTTCTAAGACTTTAATACTGCTTAAAATCTTAGAGGTTAGCTCCCCAGTAGGTGAGCCCAAATCCTCTTCCTTCCCATCAATAGCCACCTCATACAGTTTTGCAGCTGCTGCGATCCACTTCTGATAAGTGGGAAGCTCAAAATGGGAGGGCTGTGGATTCCTGCCCACACTGTCATCAAAACCCTTTTTGCTCAGGACCAGCTCCACATGCTGCCATAGGAATTCTCGAAGAGTGAAGTCCACTAGCTGGCCTGAAGAACCGGAAGTGCTGCTATCGATGTGGAAGGAGAGCTGTTGCCGGCTGTGTTGTCTCATCACTTGATAACGCCTAGGTCCAGAAAGGGGTGCAGGCACCAACAAAGACTCGGGGTCCTTCACCGTACAATGACTCCTAAGTTGGTCCAGCAACATGCCGATTGGGTCCTCCTCCTGACTTCCTGGAACTATGTACACAAAAGCTTGGTTGGCAGGTACCGTAAAGAGGCAGTTGATACTCTGATTGGTCAAGACTCGACTCTTGCGGAAGATTCTATAGATCTGATCCTCCAGAGCATGCTGCAGTCTTCTTTTGGGAGAATGCTTCTTGGGCTTATCGGGATGAGCTGTATCTTGGCTCCGAGGGGGTTCCACCTTAAGGGCTCCATTGAGTTGAAAGAGGAAAAGGAGTCTAGGTGGGCAAGGTCGGCAGTTTAACTTCCAGTCTTTGCCAACTGGACAATCCTTAATGGCTGTTTTGAGTAGGGGTAGTACTTTCTGCCTCAGCCCATCCAGGGCTCGGAATACTCGGTCATAAGTGATGTCAAAGGAACAAGTCGGATGGACCAGGAGCAATATATGACAGACAGAGAAAAGGTAAAGGAGACTGAGACACTGCAACTTCTCCTGATGCTTCCAGAACTCATGTGTTTCTGCATGAGGTAAAGAGAGGCCTCCACCAGCTTCTCCGCTCTGGAGAGCCCGACAAGCACGCAGAAGCTGTGAATTGTCACAGATGGAAGTGAGAATAAGGTACAGAACTTTACTTTCCTGGTTGTAATAAGCCTGCAGAAGGCTAAAGTCCTGGGGACCTGGCTCGGCTCGGTTACCTTCCGCCGTAGCCATACCTCCACGAAGTGCATCCCCGGCGGCAGCCCCCGGGTCGCCGGCTCCTCCGGCCTCTCCGACGGCGACCGCTTCCGTCTTGAGTCCAGGCCCTGGATCCCCAGGATCCTGGTGGTGGAAGAGAGGGAAAACCTGTCGGTCGCACACAGTGTTCACCAGAGAGAACTTCTCGGAGTTCAGGCGCAGAGCCGTCTTGCCGAAGATTCCCACCACGCAGATCTCATCCTCCCTCCACGGAGGCTCGGGCGTGCCGGCCGCGTTCCCTCCGCCTTCAGCGGGGGGACCTCCGGGACTCTCGGAGCCCAGCCAGGCCGACTCTCTCATCAGAAGTTCCCGCAAGCTGACCGGCCCCGCCATGGCGGAGAAGGAGATTCCTCCAGCCTCCTTCCTGTCCCTCGCTAATCCCAACCGACCCGGTCCTACTGTGAAATACCTCCTCCCCACGTCAGTCCCTGCCTCTCTCATTTTAGTTCCGGTGTCGTGTTCCGTGTGGTGTGTCATCTTGGCCATCCTCTGTCCTCCCACCCCCGCCTCCCCTCCCCTCCCCTCCCCCTGCCTTTTCTACTGTCCTGCTAAGGTATTACTTAGCTCTACATTTGCTCAGTTCGAGAGACTATAGGGATTGAGATGTCAAAAACTAGCTTGGGTGCAGTTTGCATTTTAAAGAATATGTCAAAAATAAAATCCAACTGATTCTTCTAACAGCTCAGCAGCGGTGGTTGCTTATACTTGCACTTTCTTTTTTTTTTTTTTTTTTGGTTTTTCGAGACAGGGTTTCTCTGTGTAGCTTTGTGCCTTTCTTGGATCTCACTTGGTAGTCCAGGCTGGCCTCGAACTCACAGAGATCCGCCTGGCTCTGCCTCCCGAGTGCTGGGATTAAAGGCGTGCGCCACCACCGCCCGGTTGCACTTTCTTTTTAAGCTGAGGCGCCAGGATTCCTTTTTTTTTTTTTTTTTTTTTTTTTTTTTTGGTTTTTCGAGACAGTTTCTCTGCGTTGCCCTGGAACTCACTTTGTAGACCAGGATGACCTCAAATTCATAGAGATCCGCCTGCATCTGTCTTCCCAGTTCTGGATTAAATGAGTGCACTACCACTGCCCAGCACTTTCTTTCCTTCCTTCCTTCCTTCCTTCCTTCCTTCCTTCCTCCCTCCCTCCCTCCCTCCCTCCCTCCCTCCCTCCCTCCCTCCCTCCCTCCCTCCCTCTCTCTCTCTCTCTCTCTCAATTGTTTTTTCGAGACAGGGTTTCTCTGTGCAGCCTTGGCTGTCCTGGACCTCTCTCTGTAGACCAGGCTGGCCTCGAATTTACAGAGATACCCTAACCTCTGCCTCACAAATGGTAGAATTAAAGGCTTGCACCACCATCAGAGAGAGAGAGAGGGTATGTGTGTGGGGGGGAACCAAGCATATTGTCACACCCCTGTAATCCCAACATTCAGAATGGTGAGGCAGGAGGACTGCCTTGAGTTCAAGACCAGCCTTGACTACAGAGTTAGGTACTTGCTCCAAAATAGGGGGAGAGGAGCCGGAGTGATGGATCAGTGATTGAGGTCTGCTCTGGTAGAGAAAAGCAGTTCTCGCCTTGCAGCACCCATGGTCGGAAACTCCAGCTTCTGGAGGAGCTGATGTCTCTGGCATCCCTACTGAGGATCTCACATTTTATTCTATCATGTGAGATTCCAGGATGGAACTCAAGTCATCAGGACTGGGCTGGAGAGATAGCTCAGCGGTTAAGAACTTGCTGCTTATGCAGAGAATCGGTTCAGTTGCCTCATAATCACCTGTAGCTACAGGCAAAGGATCTGAAACCCTCTCTGGCCTTCTTGGGCACTAGGCACACACATGGTGCATATACCTACAAGTAGGCACTCATCATACATGCATATAAAAATGCTATAAATAGGGCTGGAGAGATGGCTCAGAGGTTAAGAGCACTGACTGCTCTTCCAGAGGTCCTGAGTTCAATTCCCAGCAACCACATGGTGGCTCACAACCATCTGTAATGAGAGCTGGTACCTTCTTCTGTATACATAATAAATAAATAAATCTTTAAAAAAAAATGCTATAAATAAAAACTTAAAACAAGGGCTGGAGAGATGGCTCAGTGGTTAAGAGTACTGGCTGCTCTTCCAGAGGTTCTGAGTTCAATTCCCAGCACCCACATGGTGGCTCACAACCATCCTTAATGAGATATGGTGCCTTCTTCTGGCCTGTGGGGATACATGCAGGCAGAACACTGTATACATAATAAATACATCTTTAAAACAAAACAAAACAAAACAAAACAACAACAAAAAACAGTGGCTGCTCTTCCAAAGGACCAGGGTTCAATTCCCAGTACACACATGGCAGCTTACAACTGTCTGGAACTCCAGTTCCAGGAGATCCAATGAACATAAAAATTTAAAATGAAAAAAAAAAAAACAAACCAAAAAACAAAAAACAAAAAACAAAACACACACATTAAAAAAAAACCCTTAAAACAAAAGTTGTCAGGCAGTGGTGGCACACGCCTTTAATCCCAGCACTCAGGAAGCAGAGGCAGGTGGATCTCTGTGAGTTCGAGGACAGCCTCCAGAGTGCTGGGATTACAGGCGTGGGCTACCACCGCCTGGCTGGAGTAAACACTTTTACCCATTGAGTTTACCTACTGAGTTATCCCAATGGCTCCAATCTTTTTGTTCCCCCGAGTCCTTGGCTTATACTTTTTTGTTGTTATTGTTCCTTGGGACACGGTCTCATGCAACTCATGCTGGTCTTGAAATTGCTATGTGGCTGAGGATGACCTTGAGTTTCTGATTGATCTTCCTGTCACAACTTCCTAGAGGAATACAATACCATTCCTGGCTTTTCTTAGATGCTAGGGATCAAACCAAGGGCTTTGTACATGGTCTATCAACTGAGCTGCATCCCAAGCCCCAGTACTTTTCTTTTCTTTTCTTTTTTTTTTTTTTGGACAGGGATTCACTATGTGGCCTGGGCTGGCCTCAAACTTGCTATGTATACCAGGCTCACCTCAAACTCACAGAGACACCCCCTGCCTCTGCCACCCTAGTGCTGGGATTAAAGGTATGCATTACCATACCCAGGTCTTCTCTTAAAAACAAAACAAAACAAAAAAGGACAACTTTTATTTATTATTATTATTATTATTATTATTATTATTATTATTATTATGTGTATATGATGTATGTGGAGAAACATGCCACAGTAAGAATGTGGAGGTAGGAGGACAACATTGTGGAATTTATTCTCTCCACCCACCTTTATATGGGATCCAGGAATTAAACTCAGGTCCATGAGGCTGGCTAAGCAATCACCTTTACCTGCTGAACCGTAATTTTTTTTTGAGACAAGGTTTAACTGTGTAGTCCTGGCTGTCTTGGAACTCACTCTGTGGACCAGGCTGACTTTGAGCTAACAGAGATCTGCCAGTCTCGCCTCCCCAGTGTTGGCATTAAAGGTGTATGCCACCACTACCAGGGTCAAAAAAAATTTTTTTAAGTTCAAAATGTAGTGTGGAGGTGCACTCCTTTAATCCCAGCACTCCAGAGGCAGAAGCAGGTGAATCTTTGTGAATAAGGAGCTCCAAGCCAGCCAAGACTACATAGTGAGACCCAGTCTCAAAACAAGCAAAACAACATGAATACGGGATGCATATGATAAGCAGTAGTTTAATGAAATTATACAATGTGCAGAGTACTCAAATTGTTACAATGAAAAAGTATACAAATTCTAAAATAAAAATTAGTAAACAATTTAGGGTTCATTTTAATACTGATACAACAGCAATAGCAGCTTTGTAAATGTTTTACCTATAAAATTTCTGTCTTATTGAGACAGGGTCTCACCAAGCTGCCCAGTCTGGCTGGTGGCCTTGAACTTACATTTCCCTCCACCTCAGTCTTCCAAGTATGTGGGACACCTTTCAGAAGCCACTATGTCCAGCCTAGCTTTTATTGTATTAAATGAACCTTCTGTGATAGAATGATTAAGTTATTTCAGTCACTCTGGTAAAGTGTATATTGGTTTATTAATATTGTAAAAATAAGTGTCCAAAAAATACCATTCTATTATGAATCCTTTATTTTCAGTAATAATTTCTCTTATTTTTACATAATATCACACTAGCTAGCATGTTTTCAAAAAAGTTCTGCTGGACTTGGTGGTGCATGCCACAGTAATTAAATTAATTACATAATTTCAGCATGTAAGAAGTGGAGGCAAGATCAGAAGTTCAAGGTCAACCCTGATTAAATAATTCCGGGACAGACTGGGCTACATGAAAACCTGTCTCAACAAGCCACAAACAAACAAACAAACAACCGTCTAGCTGGTCCTAGATATATCTTTTCTGTATTATAAACATAATGTGGATCTCATAGTCAGGACTGCCTCAAGGTGCTCAAACACTGCCCCTTGGGACTACTTTACAGTCTGATGACTCTGACAACATGATTTGGCATCTCAAAGTAATATCATTCAATGGAAATATGGGGGTGGGGTGTGTGTGGGGGGTGGAGAGATGGCTCAGTGGTTAGGAGCACTGGCAGTTCTTCCAGAGGACCTGGGTTCAATTCCTAGCACCCACATGGCAGTTTACAACTGTCTATAACTCCAGTTCCAGGGGATATGATACCTTCACACCAAAGTACATAAAATAAATTTTTTTTTTTCAGAGCTGAGGACCGAACCCAGGGCCTTGTGCTTGCTAGGCAAGTGCTCTACCACTGAGCTAAATTCATAACCCCAAAAACTCATTCTTTTTTTTTTTTTTAAAGATTTATTTATTATGTATACAGTGCAGAACACCAGAAGAGGGCACCAGATCTCATTAAGGATGGTTGTGAGCCACCACGTGGTTGCTGGGAATTGAACTCAGGACTTCTGGAAGAGCAACCAGTGCTCTTAACCTCTGAGCCATCTTGCCAGCCCCGATAATTTTTTTTTTTTTTTTAAAGGGAAATATAGGGATTTGACCTGGAGCTATAACTCAGTGGTAGAGTTTCTTACCAACCATGCTCAAGGCCCTGGTTCAATCCTCAGAACCAAAAATATTTAAACAGAACCCTCCAAGAATTTCTAGGGCACTACTAAATTATATTTTGGGGTACAGTGAACCGGAAGATTAAAAGTTTAAGGATATTATCTATGTGGCTGCTTCCCATCAGACTAGAAACTAGTGAACATCTGAAGACTTTGGGGGGGGGGGTCCTTTTGTTTTTGTTTTTAATGAATAAGGGGGCCATTACACAGGGGTAGATAACAGTATCAGAGGTGATCCTGGAACTAAGGGTATGGCTCAGTGGTAGAAGCACTTGCCTAGCATGCTCTAAGCCCTGAAACCCCTCTGTACCAGAAAAAAGTGCAGTTACTCCTGCACCTTGAGTCACACTCACTTGAATGGGAATTATCCATCTATTCTACTCAGAATAGATGTTAAGGGATCCTGGCTGAAGCTATACAGTGTTCACTGCCAAGAAGACATGTGTAATAAAACTATGGGATCCCAGAAATAAATTGTAACTTTTTGAGCATGGTCAAATAAGGTAGCTAAGTAAAATATAAGGTTCTCAGTTCAATGTGAATTTCAGACAAACAACACATATATACTCTTCTAGTTGCTGTGATGAAATACCTGAGGAGAGCAATTTAAGGAAGGAAGGGTTTGTTTGGCTTATAGTTCTACCATACACTCTGTCTGGAGGGAGGAGATCAAGACAGCAGAAGCCTAAAGCAGCTGCTCACATTGCATCCACAGTGAAGAAGATCCCAGCTTAGGGGATGGTGCTACCCACAGAGGGTGGGTCTTCCCATCTCAATTAACCTAATCCAGATAATGTCTGAGAAAGTCCATCTCCCAGGTGATTATAGATAATATGAAATAGACAACTCTGTGTGTGTGTGTGTGTGTGTGTGTGTGTGTGTGTGTGTGTGTATGTGTGTGTGTTAGTACTAGTGACTGAACCTGGAGCTATGAACATTAGACAAGTACTATATTCCTCCCTGCAAAGACCTAAATACATTTCTTTTAAAAATGTAAGTGGTTTTCATTTAATAATAAAGAGGTATTTCTACTAGCTTAGTATGTACATGGCCTTGAGTTCGATCTGTAACACTCAAATATTTATAGTTTAGTAGCACAGATTTATAAGCTTATTTGTGGTTTATCTGAAATTCAAATTTAATGGAGCATCTTATATTCTTATTTGCTAAATCTAACAACGCTAGACTGGCAAGAATAAATGAAGTCCAGTGAGAGACACAACACTACTGTCAGCCAATACACAGGCTGATAAGGACCAGGAACCGGGCTTCTCAATAAAACTGCCATGGACCACAGAGAATCCTTGGCAAGGCATTCTGGAAAACTGAAGTTTCATGCTGAAATCATGAAAATTTTATTTGACTACAGGAAAATGGACAGCAGACATAAAAAGTAAAGAATATAAGGCTGAGGTATAGGCTCAAGGTACATGTACTTAGCAGGTGTGAGGCCCTGGGTTCAGCCCCAAAAAGAAAAAAACAAAAAGGGGTGTCTCAGTGAGCCAGATCAAACCACCTACCTAAGTTGCTAAGTCATTTTAGAAATGTGTCATTACATTCTAGCCAGATTTGGCTCACATCTGTAATCCCAGCATTTGGGAGGATGAGAACAGAGGATTGCCAGGAATCCCAGGCCAGATTGGGCTATAATGTAAGACTCCATTTCAAGCAAACACAGGGTACTCTTGAATTTTTCAGGTCACGTGGAGTTGTTTTGTGTGGTTTTTTCCCCTCTAAATTACTTGTTTATTTATTTTAAGACAGGGTCTCACTGTATAGTTCTGGCTGATATGGAATTTACTATGTAGACCAGACTGGCCTCAAACTCCCTGAGATCTTTGGTCTTCTGCCTTATAAGTGCTGGAATTGAATGCATGCATCACCATGCCCAGCTAGAGGGTCTTATTTTATGAATCAAGTGTGTAGCAATGAATGAATCAGCCTGAGATGAACAGGAACCAGGCTCTGTTCTTTATTTTCTTTTTAAAATTTTTTTTTTTTTTTTTTTTTTTTTTGGTTTTTCAAGACAGGGTTTCTCTGTGTAGCTTTGCACCTTTCCTGGGACTCACTTGGTAGCCCAGGCTGGCCTCGAACTCACAGAGATCCGCCTGGCTCTGCCTCCCGAGTGCTGGGATTAAAGGCGTGCGCCACCACCGCCCGGTTCTTTTTAAAATTTTGTATATTTATTTATGTGTTTGTGTATCTGTGTACACGTGAGTGCAGGTGCCCGCCTAGCCAGAAGAGGGCAGTGAATGGCTTGGACCTGGAGCTAGAGGCATACATAAGCCAGCTGAAGTGCGTGCTAGGATCTGAACTTGGGTCCTCTGCAAAAGCAGCAAGTGTTCTTAACTGCTGAGCCATTTTTTCTAGTACTCAGACTATTTTCTTAATGTCATAACTATATTTACATAATAAACTAGTTATACCATGAATATTTTTTAACGTGCTTATTAATTTTGTGTGTTGAAGGGGGCACATATAATAGTGGACATGTGGAGGTCAGAGGACAACCTGTGGGAGTCAGTTCTTCCTTCCCTCCATTTAGGTCCTGGGCACTGAACTTGGGTCATTAGGCTGGGGGGCAAGTGCCTTTACCCACTGAACCACATCACCAGTCCCTATGGAATTAAATCTGAACAGTTGCTCTAACCTAAATTGGGTAATTCCAGGATACACATTACATTGCAGGTTGCACCTTCCCATCGGGTCCCCTTACCATCACCATCACCAGAAAGCATCTAAATGCTCTCTGTTTGCCACAGTATATGTAGGTTCCATACATACTCACTCTGATTCTTCAAGCAGAATTACATTTGTAGAGCTATACATATTTTAGTACATAAAAATTTAGGGGGTTTGATCTGTCATTGTCTGGATCTCTCCATGGAGTCAGGCAGAGTTGGCCTCAGTTTTGGTCATCAAAGCTGCTTGTAGGAAGTGGCAGGGACTGAGTAGGGCTTTGAGGATGAGCCAGCTATGAAAACAAAAGTCACAGGTATAACATGAATGATGCTCCTATGACCATCACAAGTCTTCTTCCTTATTAACAAAGACTTGATGGTTTTTGCAAGGCAGCACTGCATTCCTAGCTACCCTCCCCAGCTTTCCTGATACAAACAGAAGCTAACAAGCATTTTGCCCCTGGTCTTTCTCCTTTTGCCTGAGATGTGACTATATGGGAAGCACTGCCACTGTGCACCATGAGGATAAAAGCCGGGCATTAAGGGCGAAAGAGCACGAGAAATGGTGGCTCATGTCTGGAACCCCAGCACTTGACAGTCTGAGGCTGGACTGCTACAAGTTTGAGGCCAGACTGGGCTACATAGTGAGATTCTGTCTCAAAACCAAAACCAACCAAACAACCAAACAAGAACAACCAAACTAAACAAAAGGAAATGGGTAAAGAGCATGAAGGGCATGATAAAGCAGCTGCACCAGCCATGGACCTCCATTTCCCAGACAGATTCTCAGGTGAGAAACCCCCGGAATTCCAGCTGGGGTGGTAGCCCATGCTTTTAATCCCAGAAAGGAGTTTAAGGCCAGCCTGGTCTAGCTAGCAAGTCAGGCCAGCCAGAGTTACAAGGGAAGACCCTGTCTAAAAAACAAACAAACAAACAAACAAACAAACAAACAAAATGATTCTAGTGGTTGGAGATTTACTTAAAAGAAGAGTGCTTGCCGGGCGGGCGGTGGTGGTGCACGCCTTTAATCCCAGCACTCGGGAGGCAGAGCCAGGCGGATCTCTGTGAGTTCGAGGCCAGCCTGGGCTACCAAGTGAGTTCCAGGAGAGGCGCAAAGCTACACAGAGAAACCCTGTCTTGAAAAACCCAAAAAAAAAAAAAAAAAAAAGAAGAGTGCTTGCTAAGCAATTATAAGGTCCTAGGTTTGGTCCTCAGTTTGAAAAAAAAGAACACAAACTTAAAAGAAAAATAAATTCATTGTAGGCCAGCCCCAGTTACATGGCTACTTGAGACTCCTGGAAGGGGGGGGGTATATTTATATAAAAATATGTATATTTTCCTGTTTTAAATTTTTTTCTTTTTTGTTTTTCTAGACAGAGCTTCTCTTGAGTAGCCTCAGCTGTCTTGGAACTCACTCTGTAGACCAAGCTGATTTCAAACTCACCGAGATTTGCCTGCCTCTGCCTCCCGAGTACTGGGATTAAAGGCGTGCGCCACTCCCCCACACTATACGTTTTACATATATAAATGAACTGATATTTTGTCACTTGTGGCTGGGTGCAAACTCTGGGTAGACTTGCTTTACAGTTAATGGGAGCATAAGGGCTGAGTGGGAAAAGTCATTCTTCCTACTAAGTGGATTTGTTACCACACAGCATATGGCAAAATTTCATCTGTGATTTTTGCTATAGCACAACATGCGGGTTTATTATTATTATTATATTTTCATCTGTTTCCATGGTTCCTGGTACACTGTACTAGCTATTGTGTGGCGCGAGGGTAGCAAGGGTCCCAGCGCTAACAGAGAAAGGAAGTGGCTAAGGCCTTCTGTGAGGCCTCTTCCCTTTAGCTCAGGAGTCTGTGGCGCTTCTGCCCCACAGGAAGAAGGAACTACAGTGTTCAAAGCCACAAAGGTCAGCAACCAAGTCCCAGCATTCCAGCAGGGGAGGCAGGAGATGGCTTCTCTTCAGAGCCAGTAATCCAGGAGATGAGGAAGACTAAGACAGACCGGGGTGGAAAAGAGGAGACCAAGACCAGCAACTCTCCTTGGTTTTCGTGTGGCTCATCAGGCAGGTGATGATGGAGAAGGCTGTCTGACCTTTTCCCGTTAACACTCGTTAAATGGAGTCTGCTAGCCGGACTTGTATTTCCATTTTGTCTGTCATCTGTCAGGCTCCCGTTCTAGAGACCACCACATTGTCATTTTTCAGTTTATCATATAGGTCATTATGCTTCTCATAATGGGACACTTATACATGCTGTTCTTTTGTTGCCTAGGACTTTCTCCTCTCTGACATTTATGGTAGGATAACCCTTTCCTTGTTAATTCCTATTCGTTCTTTAATTGTCTCTGCCCAAAGCATTACTTACGGAAATCTTCTAGGCTAGGTCATCTTGGCTAGATCATTTCCTGTTTTCTTGCTCTTTTCCTTCATAGCACTTACTATGGGATGAGACAATAAGGAATTATTTGATTCACATCTATATTTTCCACTAGACTGAAAGGTTCAGGGCAGCAGATCTGTGTCTGCCTTTTCACACCAGTCCAATCCTGGTACTCTAGCACAGTGCTTAACATACAGGAAGTACTCGATAAATTCTCATTAAAGGAAATTAAACCACCAGACATTTATTAACAAAGGGGAAATGATAATCCTAGCTGTATATTACAATAATTTTTCTTTGCAGAATTTTTTTTTTTTTTTTGGTTTTTCGAGACAGGGTTTCTCTGTGTAGTTTTGGTGCCTGTCCTGGATCTCGCTCTGTAGACCAGGCTGGCCTCGAACTCACAAAGATCCGCCTGCCTCTGCCTCCCAAGTGCTGGGATTAAAAACATGTGCCACCACTGCCCGGTCTTCACAGAATTTTATATCAAATAATTAAAGCATTTTGTAAAGCATACAGAATGAGAAAAGATCATTCTTTGATTTGGTTGTTTGCCCCTGCAGCATTAGAGGCTGATCCCAGGGTGTCCCACGTGCTAGGTAAGGGCTCCAACATGGAGCTACATTTCCAGCCTCTTTCTGCTGCTTCTTCTTCCTCCTCTTTCCTTCTCCTTCTTTGAGACACGGTTTCTCTGTGTGCTGCCCAGGCAGTACTAGAAATCACTCTGTAAACCAGGCTGGCCTCGAACTCAGAGATTCACCTGCTTCTGCCTCCCAAGTGCTGGATTAAAGGACACCACCCAGTGAACAGTGTGCACTCTTAACCACTGAGCCACATCTCTGGCCCCTATTATTATTATTGTTACTAAGAGAGCTACTTTGGGTAGTGGGACATGCGTATTATCCTAAAACTAGGGAAGTTGAGTCGGGAAGATTATGTACTTGAGGTCAGTCTGGTGGGGTACATAGTGAGACCCTCTCTCAAAATATATAAATAAATACTTTAGACTGTGGTTCTAAATAAATTACCTTATTCTCCCTCCCTCCCTCTCGCTCTTCCTCCCTTTTCTCTTTCTCCCTCCCTCCTTCCTTCCCTCCAGTACTTGGCTCTGAGCCAGGCCCTCACACATGCTGGGCTACATACATTCTCAGCACTTACATAAATTATTTTTCAGGAAAACAAGCCAGAGGACTTAGTTTGGATTTTAGGTTTTTCACAGACTCACCAGAAACTTTCTCCTTAAGGCCCGAGTCATGACTGGAGTCAGTCCAGTTCCTGTTTCCATATTTTCTTTATTGATGAGAGGGGTCCCACCTGGGCTCCTATAAAAGTGTGAAAAGGTCAGAGCTGCGTTTTATCCCCACTTTTCCAACTGCCTTAGAAAGCACAGGAGAAGCAATTGTTACCTGTCTACATCGACCTTTCTCAGCAGTTTCCGCAGATCTATCTGGCTTTTACCAGGAGTACTGAGAATAAAGACATAAAAATTATAACTTTCAGATTTCACCACTTTTCCAAAAACAGGTCAGTTTTATAGACAATCTCCTAGAAAGTAGTTCTTTTTGCCACATTAAGAAAATAGAAGCTGGGCAGTGGTGGCGCACACTTTTAATCGTAGCACTTGGGAGGCAGAGGCAGGCGGATCTATGAGTACAAGGCCAGCCTGGTCTACAGAGCGAGTTCTAGGACAGCCAGGGATGTGATACAGAGAAACCCTGTCTTGAAAAACAACAACAAATAATAATAATAACAGGATAACAGCAGCAGATGCTGATAGAAGCCTAAGGTGATATTATATAGTTGCCCAACCCCAGGTAGACCACACTGGCTTCAACTCACAGAGATTCACCTGACTCTGCCTCCCGAGTTCTGGGATTAAAGGCATCCACATCTCTGTACCTTATATAGCCATTCCAATAAGAAATATGTTTTCCTTTCACAGTGATGCTGGGATTTGAACCCAGGGCCTTGCACAGTCTAAGTACTTATCACTGAGCTACATAATCCTCAGCCCAAAGTGAAACTGTAACAGTACCTGTAAAATGTATCCTAGGAAAGACTAAGCATAAGGATGACAGTCAGGAAAGTGATGAGGAGTGACAGTAACTCACAATCCTAATGTCTCCAAACAGGATTTCAGATACGAAATTTACATAAAATAAATTATACTAAATCAGTTCAAATGATGATTCAAGCTCATCCCTCTTTTCTTTCTTTCTATTTTTTTCTTTTTTAAAGGAAGTTAGAGTTTATTTAGGCTTATGACACAGGAAGTGATGCAGGCTGGGCACAGTGGTGCATGTTTTCAATGCTATTACTTGGGAGGCAGAGGCAGGTGAATCTCTGTGAGTTCAAGGCCAGCCCGGTTCATAGAGTGAGTTCCGGGTCAGTCAGGGCTACGTGGTAAAACCCTATCTCAAAAAAATAAAGTAAAGGGGTTGGGGATTTAGCTCAGTGGCAGAGCGCTTGCCTAGCAAGCGCAAGGCCCTGGGTTCAGTCCTCAACTCTGGGAAAAAAAAAAAAAGAAAGAAAAAGAAAAAAAAATAAAGTAAAGGGAAGGTTGGGCAGTGAGTGCATCACGGTCTGGTTACACTGTACCCACAGTCAGGAGTCAGAGAAAGATTAATTAAATCTAAAAACAAAAGTGTGTGTGTGTGTGTGTGTGTGTGTGTGTGTGTGTGTGTGTGTGTGTGTGTGTCTTTGTGCCACAGTTCACATGGAAGGCCAGAGAATAACTTAGATTTGGTTCTCTCCATATACCTCATGGGTCCCAGAGATTCAACTCAGGTCCTCAGTCTTGGCAGCAAACACCTTTACCTGCTGAGCCAGCTCACCAGCCCTGAAACTGGAAGTTTGAGAAATGTCTGTTTGTTTAAACAGGGTATCATGTAGCTCAGGCTGGCCTTGAACTCACTATTGTAGCTGCTGATGACTTTGAAACCCTGATCTTCCTGACTCCACTTCCCAAGTGTTGGGATGATGGGCATGTGCCATCACACTTGGTTAAAAAATCCTTGTTAATGTTTTATTTTTGCCTCAAATTTGTTATTAAATAATAATATTATATGTCATATAATAGACAGCCTCTTGGGCGAGTCAATAAAGTAGTGAATATTCAGAAAAAAAAAGACTAGAATTATAAGAATTAAATCAAATAACAACAACAACAAAATCATCAATTATGTTCTCAGTAGCTGTCTCTAATGACAGGATTAACTATTAGGTTGGGAGTTGAAGGAATTACCCAGATCCAAGCGACTACCTACATGAGTTTTGTTTTTCTCTTTGAATTTTTCTGTAGGTTTCAATTCTTCTATAGTGAGCATATGTAATTTTTTTTTTTTTTTTTGGTGCAGCAGGGCATAGTGCACATGTTTTCAGCCATAGCACTTGGGACACAGAGGCAGGTGGATCTTTGTGAGTTTGAGGTCAGCCTGGTGAACATAATCGAGTTCTAGGACAGCGAGAGCTATATAGTGAAACCCCATCCTGAGACAAACAAATAACAACACAAAACAGAAAGTTAAAAATGGCCCCAGCCGGGCAGTGGTGGCGCATGCCTTTAATCCCAGCACTTGGGAGGCAGAGCCAGGCATATCTCTGTGAGTTCGAGGCCAGCCTGGTCTCCAAAATGAGTTCCAGGAAAGGCGCAAAGCTACACAGAGAAACCCTGTCTCGGGGAAAAAATAAAAATAAAAAAAATAAAAATAAAAATAAAAATGGCCCCCAAAGGGGCCGGTGAGATGTTTCAGTGGGTAAAGACCCTTGCTGCATAAGCCTGACAGCCAATGTCTGATCCGTGAGAATCCATGTAAGGGTGAAAGAAGAAGATCAACTACACAATGTTTGTCTGCTGACCTTACAAAGGCAGCGGCATGTGTACATGTTCCCCTACCCCATCATACACATACAACAATGATGAACTACTTTTAAATTTTAAAAAGAAGCAAAGGAAAATCGGCATTTTAAGTAGCAGCAGAGCATAATAACGTGCAGTTCCTTACATTAGGACATTTTTAACTCGTGGGGCTAACACCTTGTTGTTGGGTTTCAGAGTAACATGTTGCAGATCAGAGATGGTAACTAGTGGACTCCGTTCCTCTGGGGGTGATGGTAGAAGCTTTAACTGCAAAATGAGACATTAAAGATACATATTAAAATAGCATTCTGCCGGGCGGTGGTGGCGCACGCCTTTAATCCCAGCACTCGGGAGGCAGAGCCAGGCGGATCTCTGTGAGTTCGAGGCCAGCCTGGACTACCAAGTGAGTTCCAGGAAAGGCGCAAAGCTACACAGAGAAACCCTGTCTTGAAAAAACCAAAAAAAAAAAAAAAAAAAAAAAAAATAGCATTCTAATGCAAATACCCCCAAACAGCAAATGTTTGACTGCCAGAGGGTACATTTTCCATGATTCACTTCTTTATTTCAAAGGGTCGAAGGCTCTCTCTCACACTCTCCCATCTCTCTCGGGTTTTACTAGCTGGATCCTGTTGGTCAGACCAGGCTGGTATGGAACTTGAATAGTGTGGCCTTGAATTCAAAGAAATCCTCCTGCCTGAGTCTAGGTGCTAAGAATACTGGTGTGAGGCACCACACCCACCTAGTAGGTTTCTGTCTATAGCATGTCTCTCAGGCTGGCCTCTTGATTTCCTGTGTCCCTAAGGATGACTTTGAACTCCTGATTCTTTGCAGACACCTCCCAAGTGCTAGGATCATTAGTGGACACTATTGTGTATGGGTGTATATGATAGATGTGTGTATACATGTTTTTGTGTATGTGTGTGTGAGTGTGTGCATGGAGGCCAGGGGTCAATGCCAGGCATTTTCATTATCACTTACTATCATGTTGAGACAGGGGCTTTCACTGAACCTGGAGCTCACTAATTGGCTAGACCTGCTAGCCAGTGAGTTTGGGGGTCTGACTGTCTCCGCCTCTCCAGGGTTAGGAGTGTAGGTGGGGCTGCTTTTTTTTCACATGGGTGTTAGGGATCTGGACTCAGACCCTCATGCCTGTGTGGCAAGCACTTTTCCAACTGAGCCATCTCTTCAGCCTGTTTTTGTTTTCTTTTTTTTAAGTACTGGAGAGTGAAACCAGGGCCTCATACGTGTGAGGCAAATGCTCTGTCATTAAACTGTATACCTAGCCCCAACAGAAGAACAACTTCTATATATAAGGCTTACCATATTTTCCCAAAGGAACAGCCAGGTTTAAAAAGGAAGAAGCAAGGCATGACACCGTGTTTCTAACACTTGTGAGGTTTAGGTGTGGTACATTCAAAGATTTGAAGTCAGCCTGGGTTAAGTAGCAAGAAAAACATACCCGTGAGCTTGGGAGATAGTTTAGTTGGTAGGTACAGTGTTTACAGTGCTGATTTACAGTGTTAATCCCAGCACTTGGGAGGCAGAGGCAGGTGGATCTCTGTGAGTTTGAGGCCAGCCTGGTCTATAGAGCAAGTTCCAGGACAGCCAGGGCTACACAGAGAGATCCTGTCTATAAATAAATAAATAAATAAATAAATAAATAAATAAATAGGTGTAAGGTGGAAAGTGATAGAGGAAGACACCCCGTATTAACCTCTGGCTTCCACATACGCACCCACAAACACACAACCATAACACTTATACAAAACACACCCAGCCCCAAAGGAAGAAGGCCTTGTGTGTTCACGGTGACATCTTACCTTCTTCCTTTCTTCAATACTCTGTGTCTTTTTTAGTTTTACAGTGAGTAGATCTTTAACAGTTATATGCATAGGTCCATCTTTCTTTAATGGTTCAGTCTTAAAATACATGGAGAGGTTAGGATTAAAATTGGCATCAGGACATCAGTGAAATCCAAATCCAAGTTTACTTTGTAAAGATTCAGAGTTGAAAGTTAACTTGTTATCATTATTTATTTAATTTTAATTTTTTTGCTTTTTCTCTATCATTATTTTTGAGACAGGGTATTGCTATCTAGTCCTGGCTGTCTTAGTACTCCATAGGTAGCTTAAACTGGCCTCAAACTCACGGCAATCCTTTTGTGTCAGCTTCCAAATGCTAGGATTATAGGAATGTACCACCACACCCATCTCAAGTTAACTCTTTTTTTGTTTGTTTGTTTTCGAGACAGGGTTTCTCTGTGTAGCTTTGCGCCTTTCCTGGAACTCGCTTTGGAGACCAGGCTGGTCTCGAACTCACAGAGATCTGCCTGCCTCTGCCTCCCGAGTGCTGGGATTACAGGCGTGCTCCACCATTGCCTGAGTTAACTCTTATTTACCCTAGGGATTAAACACATTCCTCTGTGAGCAAGCAAGAATGACAGGGGTATGAGTGGGTAGTGGTGGGGTGTGAGTGGATGGGGTGGTGCCAGAGCACCTTACATTTTTTTTATTTGGAGCTAGAGAGATGGCACAGTGGTTAAGAGTACTTGCAGAGGGCCTGAGTTCTGTTCCCAGCACCCATGACGCACAACCATCTATAACTCCAGTTCCAGGGGATCCAACACCTTCTTCTGACCTTTTCAGGCACTAGGCATGTACACGGTACACAGACACACAAGCAGGCAAAACACCCATTCACATAAGATGAAATAATTTTAAAAATAAAAAAGTGTACGTATTTTAATGTATATTCATGTTTGGACTGCATTTATGTATGTGTACTACATGTATGCTTGGTGCCTTTGGAGTCTACAAGAGGATGTCAGATCTCCTGAAACTAGAGTGATAGAGAGTTGTGTCCTACCAAATGGGTGATAGGAACCAAACTCTGGTCCTCTGTAAGAGCAGCGAAGTGCTCTTAACTGCTGAGCCATCTCTCCAGCAACTCTACATCAGAATTTTCTTTGTGTGTTTGTTTTGAGACTGGCCTCAAACTCCCAATATAGCCATAAACTCACTATGTAACCAAGGATGACCTTGAACTCTGGATCTTCCCACTTGTACCTCCCAAGTGATAGGATTAAATATGTGTTCTAGCCTTGTGAATAAAGCTTTCAAAATGTATAATAATGGAGCAAGGCATAGTGGTGTGTGTGTGTGTGTGTGTGTGTGTGTGTGTGTGTGTGTGTGTGTGTGTGTGTGTTGTGTGCATTTTGTGGACTACAGTCCAAGCTCCTCAAAAGCTGAAGCAAAAGATCACAAGTTAGAGGATAGCCTATGCTACATAGTGAGTTCTAAGCCAGTCAGGGCTACAAATCAAGATCCAGTCTCAGAGAACAAATAAATAAAAGCTGCCAAGAACAAAAGCCTAAAACAAAACAAAGGAACAACAACAAGAAGACCCCAATAATTACATTACATTGACATACATCCGTAATGCCAGCTACTCAAAGGCTAAAGCAAAGGAATGGCTTGAGCCCACCAGTTCAAGACCAGCTTGGACAACATAATGAGACTATATCTAAGACCAAAAACAAGCCCCAACCCCAACCCCCAAAAAACCAACAAAAAACTTATAACTAAAATCATAATAATTAACAAAATTAAGATATAGAATCAGAACAAAATATAGTCTTCACACCTAGGCCTTTGGCTCAGCTTTGAAAGGCCTCTTGGCTTTGTTCCTGTATTACAGTCTAACTAAAACACATTGTTACTGATTATTTCTTACCTGAAGTGCTTTAGCAGTACCAGATTTTCTGAGCAGCAAAGGTGCTAGGGGTGGTGGAGGTGGAGGAAGGGGAGGAGGAGGGGGAGGAGGAGGGGGAGGAGGAGGGGGAGGAGGAGGGGGAGGATGACTGGCTGGCTGTGGCAGTGTTGGAGGAAGTACAGTTCTGGATTCTCCATGGGTTGCTGGAGCACAGGCAGGCACGTTTGTGAGTTTATCACTCACACAACACTTATGACAACAGCTTGAATAAGAAGAATTTTCTGAAATGGTCTGGAAGATACAATAATTGACAAACAATAGATTAATTTGGTGGTGTGTATTTGGTTCTTTCTTTCCTTCCTCCCTCCCTCCCTCCCTCCCTCCCTCCCTTCCTCCCTCCCTCCCTCCCTTCCTTCCTTTCTTTGAGACATTTCACACTCTGGCTCAGGCTGGCCTGGAAATCACTCAGGCTGGCCTTAAATTCAAACTGTTTCCTCAGCCGTCATCCGGGCATTAGGATTACAGGAATGCGTGACCACTCCTGACAATAACAACAACGTTTCTTCTATGATTCCATTGTTCATTGGGCTAGAGAGAAGTTTGGCAAGTACAAGCTTGCAGCTCTTGCAGAGGGCTGCACTTAGTTCCCAGAGCAAACGGGACAGCTCAAGTCTAACTCCACTTCCAGGCGACCTGACGCCCTCTTCTGGCCATCATACCCACCCCAGCCACACCCAGGCTTTGTTTTATGTTCTTGTTTCCAATGGTGAGGATCAGACTCACAGCTAGAATATATATGTGTATAATAAATTTGTATGTATGTTCCTATATATAAGGAAAGTATATGAACATCTGTATCTCATAAGGATACTTCCATTGGCTTAATGAACTTGTTAGCTGATTAGCTATTTTGAGATGAGGATCTTGCTAATTAGCCAGGCTGACCTTGAATTCCTAGGCTCAGGTGATCCCTTTGCTTTAGCTTCCCTAACAGATGGGACTATAGGCACACATCACCAGGCCCAACTGAAAAACTATCACACTATATGTTTTAACTATAGATGAAGCATCCTACAGAATCCGAACACCATCTCTTTCTATACCTCTGTATTTAATTTATTAAATGGTATGTTCTTTTTGTTCGGGTTTTTGAGACACAGTCTCATTCTCTAGCTCAGGGTGGTCCAGGGCTCACTGTGTAGTCTGTGTTGGGCAATCCCCATGCCTCAGCCACGCACCACCACACCTAAAGAAAAGTGTTGACATTGGCTGCGGGGTTCTCAGCGCCCTTCTGCTTCTTTTGTTGACTTCTCCCAGGCTGAGGATTGAACATATGATACTGTGCATGATAGGCAAACACACTACCCCTGAACTACACCCCCAGGCTCATAAATGTTACATTTGCACACTCACCGCACTTTGGTATTTATTTTTTGCAAACTCTCCCTTCTCTCACATTGGGGATTGAACTGGAAGTCCACATGGCAGGCAAATGCTTTATCACTGAACTATATCCCCAGCTAAAAGTAAATTTTTTGTGAGACAGGGTCTCCTGTATTCCAGGCTGGCCTTAAAGTCCCTATGTTATTGGGGATGACCTTACTTTCAGTTCTTCAGCCTTGACCCCCTAAGTGCTAAGATTATATGTATAAGCCACCATGGCTGATTCATGTAGTGCTGGGGCCTCCTGCATGCCAGTGGAGTGCTCTACCAACTGAGCCCATCCCTAGCTACTTTCTGCTGAAAACAAAAGAAGTGTTAAAGATGCATTCATTTTATGTTATATCTATGTGTATGTGCCTGTTCATCTGTATGTGGACCGTGTGTGTAAATGCCTACAACGTTCCGAAGAAGGCATCAGACTCCCTGGAACAGGCAGTTATGAACCACCCAGTGTGGGTGCTTGGAACTGAACCTGGGTTATCTGCAAGAGCAGCAGGTGTTTTTAACCACAGATCCATTTCTCCATTCCCTCTGGCCCCAGCTGAAAATTCTGATAGCCATTTCCTTCACTATTCCCCACAAAAGTTTTATTAGTTTATGTTCTTCTCAATAATGTAAGAAAGTATCTATTTTTACAAATTTTTAGTTTTTTTTTTGCCAATCTGATTAAGTTCAATGTTGCTCATTGAAATTCCCTTTATATTTCTATTTTGTTTGTATGCCCAAGACCATTAATTGTTCCCAATATACATTTAAAAATAGTTTTTGATTTTAATTATGTGGTTGTGTGTGTATGTGCACACAGGAGTACAGGTGCCTATGCAGGTCAGAGGGGTTGGACCCCTTAAGTTGGAGTTACACACAGTTGTAAGACACCCACTGTAGGTTCTAGGGACCAAATTTGCTCCTCTGCATGAGCAGTGCACTCTCTTGACTGGGGAGCCATCTCTCCAGGGCCCCCATTATAGTTTTGCCTTCTTCCTTTGCAAAAGGAAGTCTCTCTGCCTGACTTTTGAGGTAATAACCAAACTCAGATCCAGAGTCTTTTCCTATCCTAATAGTCTTTTCAGATAACATCTCTGGACTGGTTTGTTTGGCAATACCCACCTTCAGTGTTTCTTGGAGCTTGCATAATTCACTTTTCAAAACACAAACTTGTTGTTTTAGACTGTTAAGTTCTCTGTGGTAGACTCGGGAAGGGAAGATGGCATCTTTCAGTACTTCGAAACTCTGAAATTCATAAATAAACAAGCCTGAATCTAATGAGCAGCATGGTAAAGAAAGTGATGTCACATATGGCTTACGTAAGCAAAGACAGGCGTGATCTCACAAATTAATCTTATCCAAGCTTAGCCTCAGGGGTCTGTCAGGCCTAGGGACTATACAAGAACATACACACTAAGCATGGCCGAACAGAAACTCTATTGCTGAGAACAGGTTTATGAAACCTCTACCTGGGCTGCACAGGTCTGACAGTAACTGTATATGCACCATGCTCTGTGCGTCCAAAGGTTTACTGCATCTTTGATGCTGGGAAATCTGAAGTTCCAAGGTCGTCTTAGCCAGTTTCTGCTATGGGGTGTATCTGTTGAAGAAGTAACCACTCTGTGGAAGAAACAGTAAACAAAACAAATAAAAAACCGTAGGTCGTGCCTGGGCATGGTGGTGCACATTCAGAAAGCAGAGGCAGGAGGACAGATTTAAGTTCAAGGGAAGCTTGTTCTACATAATGAGTCCCAGCCCAGTCAAAACAACACAGTAAGACCCTGTCTCAAAAAAGAAAGAAAGGATGGCCCTGCTCTGGAGTCACACTTATAAAACCAGGTAGATCTCTGCGAGTTCTAGGCCAACCAGGGCTACATGGTGAGACTCTGTCTCAAAAAACAAAACATCACCCCCAACACACACCCCTACACACAAAACCCAACTTAGGTGAGACTAAAAGCTTCTACTTAAGTAATTAGTTGGGCTTACTTATTTTAAATCAAATGAATTATTTTTGGTGCTGAGGAGTAAATCCAAGGGTGATGCTAAGCACACATTCTAGCAGCGAGCTATACCTCTTATCACAAACAGCTAGTTTATAGTATGACTCAGAACCAGGGACTGAATGACTGAATGACTTTCTTTTCTTTTCCTTTTCTTGAGACAGGGTCTCATTATTTTGTTCGGACTGTCCTAGAACTGGCTGTGTGAACCAGGCTTGCCTTGAACTTAAACCAATCCTCCCTCCTCTGTTTCCTGAGTGCTGGGATTACATGCTGCACCTGTGTGACTATGTACCAAGTGTGTGAGAGCCTGCAGAGGCCAGACAGGAGGAGAAGAGATGTCTGGCAGCTGGAGTTTCAGGCAGCTGTGAGCTGCCTCTAAGTGCTGGGAATCAAACTGGGTTCACTTGGAAGAGCAGGAAGTGCTCTTAACTACTGAGCCATCTGTCTGGCATATATATTTTTATGTTTTGAGACAGTGTCTCATGTATCCTTTGCTGACTTTGTTAAACATGATATGTAGCAGAGAATAAATTTGAACTCTGGTCTACCTGCCATTAGTTCCATGTAGTGGGAATATAGGTGTGAGTTACAAAGCCTGGCTCTATTTTATTTATTATTTATTTATTTAATAAAAAGAGCTTTAGAGTTAAGGATATATAGCTCAGCAGTTGGTTTTGTTTGTTTGTTTTGTTTTTTGTTCCCATGTTTGATACCCTGAGTTTAATCTCTAGCATACCAAAAATAAATTAAAAGAAGCTGGATGGGGGTGGTACATGCCAGGCAAAGAGAGGAGAAATGAGAGGGGTTGAATCAGAGGACTTCCAAAAGCTCAAGGTCAGGGTGGGCTACAGTCAGTTCCAGGGTGGTCAGGACCGGAGACAGAGAGACTTTCACACAAAACCAACAAAAGAGGAACCTATCATTCTACACAGAGAAACCCTGTCTCCAGAAAACCAAACAAACCAAAAACAAAAAAGGACCTATCATCAACAACAAAAGAAAGTGGAGGGGGAGGTAGGACACCAGTGGGGTACACAAAGTGTGAGTTTTTAAGAAAACCAGCACCTGGGCCAGGCGGTGGTGGCACAGACCTTTATTTCCAGGACTCGGGAGGCAGAGGCAGATGAATTTCTGTGAGTTCAAGGCCAGCCTGACGTATAGAGCGAGTTCCAGGACAGCCAAGGCTACACAGAGAAACCCTGTCTTCACAAAACAAAACAAAGCAGGAAAACCACCACCCTACAATTCCTGGAACTCAGCTGTTCTTTCAATAATACATTTAACTTATGGGTCTCAAAGAATAAATGACCAACCTTATTAGAACTAAGGTTTCATTCCAGTTCTATGCCACTCTCTCATTACTTAGTTGCTAGAATTATACAATTAAAATCAACTGAAAAAGAGAAAATAGATACTTTGGGTTTGAATACAACTCCTTCTGATTCTTATTTCATTTGAATACAATTTATTTTTGGTGGGGGTGGGGTTGGGTTTTGAGACAGGGTTTCTCTATATCACAGTCCTGGCTATCCTGGAACTCACTCTGTAGACCAGGCTAGCTTGAACTGACAGAGATCTGTCTGCCTCTGCCTCCCAAGTGCTGGGATCAAAGGTGTGTGCCACCACCGCCCGGCCCAGGTGCTAGTGTTCTTAATAACTTATACTTTCTGTACCCCACTGGGGTGTGTGTGTGTGTGTAGGTGGATATGTGCCATGGCATGTGTGTGGAGGTCAGAAGACAATCTCAGGAGTTGGCTCTCTCCTTCCACCATGTAGGTCCCAGGGATTAAACTCAAGCAGTTGGTTTGGAGGCAAGGGCCTTCCTTCACCTGCTGAGCCTTCTCGCTGGCCCTACTTACTTCTCTTTTTTCTTTTGGGAGACAGGGTCTCCCTACAAATTCCTCAGCTGGCCTAGAACTCACAGAGACCTGCCTGCCATTGCCTCCTGAGTGATGCCATTTAAGGTTTTTACCGCCATGCCGCCCTGCTCCTTTTTTTTTTTTTTTGAGAGAGAGAAAGAGGGTGTCTCATTCCATAGTCCAGGCTGGCCTGGAACTCAAGACAGTCTTCGACTCTCAGCAATTCTCTTGCCTCAGTCTTCTGAGTGGTGGGGTTACAGTTAGCATGAGCTACCGTGGCCAGCAATAATTTTGGTATAAGCACATTTCAAATTTTACATGGGACATCCTAAAAATGATTTATTTGGGTGCTGAAATTCAAATTTCTCTGGCTGTTCTATATCATCATTGGCTATACTGGTAACTGTACACTGATAAGCTCTAATGTTTCCTGTCTTCTCCGTTACACCTTACCTTTCTGGTGCGGGTGGTGGAGGGGGAGGGGGAGGTGTCGATAGCTTAGGCTGGACCCGAGAGGCTTCTTGCTTCTTAGATAAGTGTCTGGCTCTGGCTCTTGGCTTTCTTCTGCGCTGTTTGAATTTGGGCATGATCTCTGTAGAGAAAAATGTGAAGTTAAAAAAAAAATATATGCATATGGGTGTTTTGCCAGCCTATGTGTCTGCCTTTCTACCATTTGCATGCCTGGTGCCTTCACAGACCAGAAGAGGGCATCATGTCTCCTGGGAACTGGAGTTACAGATGGCTGTGAGCTGCGAAGTGGGTGCTGGGAATTGAATCTAAGTTTTCTAAAAGAGCAGCTAGTGCTCTCAACCCTCAGGGTCATTTCTCTAGTACCTGAAATACATGTTTTATTAAAGAATGATGTGTACATATAGAAAATGTATAAACCTTCAGTGCATAGTTCAACGACTTAGGATATAGGAACTTTATATACCCTCAGATTCATCATCTTGGTTATTTTTGGTTTACTCCAGTTTTTTTCCTTCTTCTCCAGCCTTGGTTAAGAAATACATTGTAGTTGTGGGCATGGTGGTGTGTACCTGTAATTCCAGTACTGGGGGATGGGATTTGAGGCAGAAGGATGACTGAATTGGAGAACACCTTAAAGTGATCCTGTCTCCAAAACATCTGTACACACCTGTAATCTCACCACTTGGAAGGTGGAGGCAGGTATATCAGGATTCAAGGATGCCTTCAGCTACCCTGTGAGTTCAAAGCCAGCCTGGGCACATGAGACCCTGTCTCAAAACTCTAAAACAAAACAAAAACCAGAGAGAAGAAAAGTCACCAGCATTCTAGAAATCACTTCCCAGGGAAGAAAATGTAAACTCAGATTTAAAATGTCTCTGGAGTCTTCCTTTGGCTTTACTTTAGTCTCTCACTCTGCTTTTGTTGCATTCTTTGATGAAGTCAAATGAATTTCTCTTTTTTCTCTGCAATCCCCTCTTCCCCAGCTGGAGACCAAACCCAGGGCTTTGCATTTGTCTAGGCAAATGCTCTACTACTGAGCTAACCCACCTCCTTTTTAAAAAAGTCATTTTGAGACAAGATCCTATGCATCCCAGGCTAGCCTTCAAACTCCCCATATAGCTAAGAATGACTCCTGCCTCTACCTTGACTGCTGGCGTTATCTTGAGACTAGCAATATCACATTGGGTTTTTTTTATGTGCTGGAGCTTCAAGCCAAGGCTTCTGGATGCGAGGCAAACACTTTACCAACTGACTACAGTACTTAGCCGTTGCTTTCCTTATAATAGGAAAATGGCTGTAGTGGATTATGGTTTGATATTAAAAAGATAGGTTTGTGATTCAGCAACATATAATGAGCATCTACTATGATAGGCAGATGCCACAGTGGAAGGAATCATTTATAAAGTGCCCCCCTAAATGTGGAGTACATTCCACTTTTCCTCTGTCAGTCTTCAATCGCCTCAACTGACAAGGAGCATTTTAGTCCCAGTTTTATACAAAAATAAGCTGAGGGTTAGATTAGATGTCTGCCTAATGTAATACAGTAAAGTATTAAAACACAGACCTGTAAGTCTTCAGCCCATGACCTTTCCTAGCAGACTATGGAGCAACAGTAACTAAAATAGGCTATATACAAGTACCTAAAACCAAAGACCTGTTTTAAGACAGTTATTTTGAAGCACTTTGATATTATTTAATATATTTATGTTTTAATTATATATCCTTTTCTGGGAAAAAAAAAAGTCTGAGTTAGTTTGATCTGAAGCTCCAAAAGGGCTTTGCTAGTTTTAGTTGTTCATTTCTGAGGAACAAAGGTGTTGTTGTTACTCAAGTAGCAGAAAGGAAAATGGTCTGCCTCAAACTTACAAATTTGAATAGGAAAAATCAGCCTTTGAAACACACATTTAAGGACCTGAGTGGTGGTAACAACTTTAAAAGCAACACTTGGGAAGCAGAGGCAGGTGGATCTATGTGAGTTCAAGGCTGAGCTGGTCTAATACCTTCTTCCAAGCCACCCACAGCTATACAGTGGGACCCTGTGTCTGATAATTTAGCAAACATCCATTCCACTTCTGTTCACTTGGTAACCTTTTGGAACTAGGTATTTGCATATACTTCCTCAGCATTCAGATTATCAGGACACCTCCCCACTTCCCTTTACAGGTTATAAAAACTGGGCACACGCCTTTAATCCCAGCACTTGGGAGGCAGAGACAGGCGGATCTCTGTGAGTTCGAGGCCAGCCTGGCCTACAGAGTGAGATCCAGGACAGGCTCCAAAGCTACACAGAGAAACCCTGTCTCGAAAAACAAAAAACAAAAAACAAACAAACAAAAAAACCAAACCAAACCAACAAACAAAAACAACAACTGGGAAGTGCCTTGGTATCAGTAGTCTAGTCCCAGAGGCTAACTCTCATGCCAAAAGGTTGTGGCAAAAGTGAATCGAAAGCATTTGATTGGATTAGATGTCAGTCAAATTTATAAGATGCATTTTTTTTTTTTTTTAAAAAGACAGGGTCCTGTTATGTTGCACAGGATGGTCTGCAACCCAAGATCCTCCTGCCTCAGCCTCCTAAATGCTAGGATCATAGGCACAAAAGGCATACAAAATCACGACTGGCTTCAAACTAGCTACAGTCCAGGATGACTCTGAACTCCTGATCTTTCTGTCTTCATCTTCCAAGTGTTAGGGTTGTGTGATTTCTTATCTGCCGACATTTCATTCATCTATTTCCTTAGATATAGAAGCATTACATGTTTTATCCAATAAAGGAATGAAAGATACCACCACTTCCCAGTATTAGTCAGCAATGATTCTCTTTTTGCTTAAGCAATTTTCTTTAAGTCTAATGAAATTGAGTGGTAGGTATCTTTTAGTGTGAGTGTTGGGGGGAGGGGGAAGCAGGAAGGTCGGTGTTAGTTATTCAAACCAGATCATATCTTTATGTTAAAGGGTGGAACAAAAAAACAAACCAAAACAAAACAAAAAAACCTTCCAAGTATGAAGATTCAACAAATAACAGGACAAGAATTACATTGGCTGATTTAGCTCAGTTGGTAGAGAGCTGATCTCACATAACAAGAGACCCTGAGTTCAATAATCTCCAGTGCCACATCAATTGTCATGTTGGCACACAGGCCTGTAATCCCAGAACCGCAGAGGTGGAAGCAGGGGGATTCAGAGTTCAGAGTCATCCCTTGCCAACCTGGGTTACACGAGCCATCTCAGAACAGTAATTAGTCTTCTGCACGAGTTGACCCTGCTGCTTCTGTTAAAACTCCAGCAGTTACATGAAAAGTTCTTTGGCTGGGGACTCATGTAAAGCTGTGGCAGCAGCGGAAATGACAGTTGCCATTTCCTCACCAACGTTCTAAAACACATTTTTACACCCACACAAATCGCTTCTAGGCCATTTAATGTCCATTACCAATTCAGTTGGTTCACCTTGATTACTGCGGCGTGATTTCTGCCATTTTCCTATAGTTAATTTTGTTTTATTGTGAAGTATTGCTTTTTTTTTTTTTTTCCTGGTTCTTTCCTGTGTCTTTCTCAGAGTGACCACAGCTCTTTAGTGTCACCTAGCACAGGACCAGACTTATGGTCAAAAGGTATACTTTTAAAATTGATGTCGGAAGTAACTCTGCATCAAGGAACATTGTAAAACCCCCTGTCAAACATTCCTCCACAAACTTAAACGTGCTGAAGTACCGCGGGGGAGAGCATCTGGTTAAATACGTATTCTTATTCAGTAAATTTGGATGGACACCTATAATTTGCATTTGTCACTAGCGACCAGAGAAGCCAAAACCGCTAGTCTGTGGACCCACTTTGAGAGGCAATGAGTAACGAAAAAGACTGAGCAAAAGGCAATCGCTTCAAAACATATATTGCAGAGTGTTAAATAAAAATGTAGTTCGGAGCCGGGCGTGGTGGCACAAGCCTTTAATTCCAGTACTTGGGATGTAGAGGCAGGCGGATCTCAATGAGTTTGAGACCAGACTGGTCTACACAGAGAATTCCAGGACACTCGGGGCTGTTAAACAGAGAAATCCTGTCTCGAAACAAAACAAAACAAAACAAAACAAAACAAAACAAAACAAAACAAAACAAAACAAAACAAAACAAAACAAAACAAAATGTGGCTCGGATGTTGCCAGCAGAGCTCTTGTTCTGCCCCAGAAAAACCTTCCCTTTTCTGCTCCATCTCCCCTACCAGTCCAGCACAAGACGCACCTCCTTTCAACAATAAGAACCCAACCACCAACAGTCCGAGCAACGGAAGATGGGACCAGGTAACAAAGAAAGAATCGTCACTGCACTTACTAGTCTAAAAGTCTGAAGATTAGATGAAGTTCGGGCTGGAGCCTCTTCCACACCATAAAGAAAAATTCAAAATTAAATCCTTGCCGAGGAGCGACCAATCGTAGACGTGGTCTCTACAAGGTTTGTCGTCCTGAAAGGATCCAAGCGCAGCCTGGATTACGATTGGCTGAGAGCGCATCACCTCCTGGCCAATCGGAACGGAGGCGCTTCTTGTATGAATAAGGGAAGGCGGGCGAGAAGGGGCGGGGAAGCCGGAGAGAAAAGAAGGTGTGTCACGTCGCCTAGGCCGGCGGTGGAAGCTCTTATGCCATTGGCTGCTGCTGCTTCCGAGTACACCAATCGTAAACGGTTTCCCAAGTATGAACTTGAAAGAGGAGAACAGAAGGCAGCCAATGAGAATAATCACATATACCACAGCCAATCCTCCTACGGCGTTTTGTGTCTTTGCCCAACAGGAAAATGTGTTTCATAAGGAGGGGCGTTACCCAATCGCCAATGGGCGGGCGCCGGCGGAAGGGACGAGCCAATGAGCGCGAGACGTTGAGTGACAGCTGTCCAATAGAGACCCTCAGTGCTAGCACGGCTTGCAGCTTAAGCGCCTCCGCGGTCTGAGGAATGTCAACTATTCAACATGGAGGCGGAGGTCGATAAGCTGGAACTGATGGTGAGTGGAGAGTGAAGGAAACCTACTGGGTAATTTGTTTTCTCCACCAAAGGCCTAGAGGGTGAGGCGCGATTTGGAGCCGCCGGAAACTCCGGGTGGTGGAGGCTGGGATCTGAATCGAGTTCCCTCCTCCTGCATCGAAGGGAGCCACCGCCGCCTTGGTCTCTTAACCGCCGCGGGGGAAGGGGTTACATCCGGGGAACTCGTGAGGGAAATGGCGGGAGATGTTGAGGGTGTGGGCCTTTGTAATTCCCTGCTCTTCGCTTTCACCTCCACCGGCCCCGGGAGCCGCGCCCGGTACAGACACCGTCTCCTGTATTTCCACCTTTCTCCCCCAAATGTGCCTGGAACGGTCTGTAAGAGCTCTGCGGTGGAGAGAGGTCGTTCACGTTTCCCGAAAGGGGGGATGGAGGATGAGGTGGGGCAGAAGTCCAGGGGCGCCGAAATTGGGGCTCCACTCTTCACCTCTTCGAAGGCGAGCTGGGACGGTCTGAAAGAGGACGCTAGACCTGCACGAAAAACTTGCCCGCGGTCCCGCAGCCCCGGCTCCGTGCGGCTCGGAGGTGGCGTGGGAGAGGGGCGAGCCGCGGGCACCGAGCCTGGAGCTCCTTCCTGCGGCGGGCGCGGGCGGCATCGCGCCAGGCCAGGCCGGCCGCTTTCGAGCTGCCCGCTTTCTCTCCTCTGTGCCAGCGGAGCCCGGGACCTCGCACCTCGGTGGCCGCTGGCGTGTCTGGCGTGCACTGGGCGCCCAGCCCAGGGGCCTTCTAGTTTTCTCTGTGACGGTTTCCCCGTTACTCGTTCTCTTTATTCTCGCCCTCCCATCTTTGCAGTGGACGCTTGAGCTCCGCGCCTTTTTTCTTAGTTCCCGTCTTCTGTCTTCGGTCTTCTTTTGCATGATCACTTTTCTTCCAGATTGGAATAGCTTCCTCAAAAGTACAGAATGTGAAGGGATCACAGAGTTCCCCCAGGTCCTTAAATAACCAGATTAATATGAAAAGTAAAACATTTCTTCCTTCGCTCGTAATCTGTCCTTCCCTCCGCCTAGGTATCCGGTGTGTCTGTGCTACTCTCTCCAAGGAATATCTTGAGTCTGTAACTTCTGCCTTGGAAAGGACTTTGGGGTGATCCTGGAAGATAGGAAGTACCACTCCCCACCCCCATTCTCACCCCAGAAAGTGTGAGGCCTCAGTTTCTTTTCTCTTGCGTTAAGGAATTCAGGTGTTTCACATACATTTTATTAGAGGGCTTTCAGTTGCTTTTATTGACATTGTATTTTAAACTTTGTGGAGGAGTATGGGAAGGGGGGTGCTTTACGGGGAGGAGAATTTTCTGCAGCTTTCCAATCTTGAAAAATGAATAGTTGACTTAAAGGGTTTTGTGTGTGTGTGTGTGTGTGTGTGTGTGTGTAATGTGTGTATATCAATATAGTAATGTATTACTATTAACACACACAACGTTAAGTATTGTTAAATATTGTGGTTTGTCAGCAGGCATGTAAATTCTCATCATGCTCTCCCACATTATGAAGTCCTTCCTTTGGAGTAGGTGAAGATAATTTTGCCTTGTTAGAGGCTAATTCTGTTTTTGATGGGTTATTTTCTTTAGTTGGTTGATCAATTTCAAAGCTTATCTAGCCTTTCCAGTACAATCAATACTCAGACTTTTAAAAAATACTGAGCAGATTATCTTAAGGAAAACACAAACAGCCAGCAAAAAGTAGATTTTAGGAAGTTGAACTTTTTTTTTTTTTTTTTTTAGATATTGTCTAAATTATGAGGTAGCTTTAAAATTGCTTTTTGCAGAGAATGAAAGGAAAGCAGCTTTTCCCTTTGTGAGATTTCCTGAAATATACTTAGCACTTTAATTTTCCAAGTTATTATTTTTCATAATCAAGGGCTTAAAAAGCAAAATCAATTTTTTAATCATGATTTTCAATATTAACTTTAGCTTTTTATTAACCAGACAGCAAAAGACATTTCATCTTCAAATGTACCATGTTCTCAAAAGAAAAAAATGTATCTATTGAAATTGTCTTTTCTAAGCCAAAGGTAAATGGTGTAAAAGTCTTTACATCACTTAAAAGATTTTCTAAGGAGCCCTTGGACGTATAATAGGAGTGCATGATGTTGTAAAGGCAATAGTTATTCTAACTCTGTAAAACATCTAATCTGAATGAATTTTTTTGTATTTTTCTTGTGTTAACATCAAATTCAGAAAATTAAATTTGCCTTTTAAACACTTGTCTTTCAAACCCAATGCTTGGTTAGCATAGTTAAATATATTCCCAAATTTGAGTTTTGTGGCTGAGGATAAGTATCCAATGTTTCAGCTCTTTTGAGTCCATTTTTTAGCAGGTTTAATCTGTCTAAGTAGCTGAACTGGACCATTTAAAGGAAGGTCAATGAAAACAATGGGAATGTATTTTTGCATCAATCAACATTACTAATGGTGGAATAAGCTCATTGTAGGGTAACCTTTGTTCTCTGACATTCTCCCTTCACTAACTGATTGAGTGGCGTTTGTCTCCTGCCCTCCTTTTGTGATACTCCCTGGGATTGTTCGCAAAAGGAGTGTAATAGGATGCTTGGATTCTGTTTCTAATAGGATGCTTGGATTCTGTTTCTTGGTTTACATTTGACTTTTAGGGAAACTTATTTTATCCCTCTCATTGTTTTCTTGATATTTCTAAGTTTGAAGGGAATGGATATGCTTTTCTTCACTTCATAGGGTATTTTTTTTTTTTTTTTTTTTTTTTTTTTTTTTTTTTTGGTTTTTCGAGACAGGGTTTCTCTGTGTAGCTTTGCGCCTTTTCCTGGAACTCACTTGGTAGCCCAGGCTGGCCTCGAACTCACAGAGATCCGCCTGGCTCTGCCTCCCGAGTGCTGGGATTAAAGGCGTGCGCCACCACCGCCCGGCTTCATAGGGTATTTTAAGAGTTAAACTGAAAGATTAAAAATCCTCTTGCCTAGTGTTAGGTTACGTTGGGTTAATGTCCTGTTAAGAATAAGTCGGTTCCCTGATACTCTCCTCCTTTATTGTATTAGCCCTCAATAAACTCTTGTTTAAAGAGGCACAAGATTTAAGTGCTGTGTGTGTGTGTGTATTAGATTCCGTAAAGATAAATTGGGTATATAGTCATTTGTTTCCTTCTTTTTTTTAAAAATGAATATGAGTGTTTTGCCTACATGTATGTATGTCTGTGCACGACATGTGTGCCTGGTGCCCAAGGAGGTCAGAAGAGGACATTGGATCCCTTGGAACTGTTATGGATGATTTTGAGCTGCCAAGTGGGTGCTAGGAATCAAACCCAGGACCTCTGCAACAGGTGCTCTTAACCACTGAATCATGTCTCCAGTCCTTTGCATTTGTTTTCTTTGAAGTAATTACCCAAGGGACTTGCTTTCTGTGGTAGGCAACCAATTGCTTTGGAAGAAGAGGTAACCAACCTTACATTTCAGCAGAGAACAGAAATATTTTTTTCATACATTTGCCTCAGTAGTAATCATAGCTGGTTTTGTTAATTAGTCCTCAAGTATTACTGGTGCCCATGTCAATTACTAAAGGCTCAGGACGTACTCCAAAATTCCTTTACATCTGCATGTTTATGCTTGAATGCTGCTACTTACTTACATGTTAGATGTCAAAAAACCAATTATCACTTGGGCTTTAAGTCTTTTACTCTTCAAAAAAAGAACTTTGGTAAAAATGGTTTTAGGTTTTGGATGTCTGCTGACCAAAACTGTCCACTGCACTCTAAAGTCTTTGCACGCTGAAACTTGCACTCCTTTCCTGCTCACTGCTGCTCGCGAATGCTCTGACTTTATTGCACTACTGTACTTTACAGCTAGCAGTGCAATAGTATTGTCAAAGCATCCGAAAGCAGGCCGCACACCTGCTTTTCTAGTTCTTGTTGTACATCTTTACCGTTTATGAAAACTTTTCTATAGCTTTCAGTGCTGAAAACTGTATAATTTTGTTCCCATGTATATTTTTAAAAGTCATCATTTGAAAAAAATAACATTAAAAATTCATTACTGTATTGCACTGAAATCTCATTACTGTATGTTTACAATCATGGCTTGTCTAAATGAATAGTACTTTGTAATTTGCTTCTTTTTGTAACAGACTTGGATGGGTTCTGGCAACTCTTAGGTCTCATTAGACTGTATGAGTTGGTAAGTGATAAATGGTCTCACGTCTATCTACTATGGTAACACGGTGTCTTAGTGTTAATTTTGGTATTATATAGGAAATGCTTAGATTTAAAGCTTAGGAAAGGGGACTAGAGAGATGGTTCACCAGTCAAGAACACTATAGAGGCCCTGAGTCCCCTTCCCAGCATCCACATCTAGTAGCTCACAGCTACGTGTAAATCCAGCTCCAGGGGATTCATTGCCATCTTCTGGCCTCTGCAGGCACACAGATGCAAAGTCACACATTGATACAAACACACAATAATAAAATCTTTAAAACTTAGACACGCTTGATTATTGTAATTATAAAATAGAAACCATCTTTTTTGGGTAATGCTTAGTGCACATTTTATGTAC